ACTGTTTTCTCCTTCGCAGATGCTGCCAGACCTGCTGAGCTTTTCCAGCAACTTCTGGTTTTGTACCATTAACCCTATCTGTATTCCTCATTATTTCACAAACTTCTCCTCTCAACCTCCAGTGAAAATAGTCCCAGCCTCTCCTTATAACTCAACCCTTCCATACCCAGCAACATCCTGGTAAATCTCTCCCAAACCCTCTCCAGTTTAATAATATCCTTCCTATAAGGGGGGGCGGGGGCACCAGAACTGGACAGTGCGCTCCGGAAGAGGCCTCACCAACATCCCTGTACAACCTCAACGTGACGTCCCAGCTCCTCTACTCAAAACTCAACCTTAAACCCATCGCCATCTCTTCCATTCCCCCACATCTAGCTTCCCCCGCACCCCCCACCAAGTCACACCCTCTTCAAACTCCTGCTTGTTGACTACTGGCTGCGCTGCAGCACTCTCACAGCCACAGCAGTGTGTACTGTCTACGAGACGCACCGCAGCGACTCGCTGAGGCTCCTCCTCCGACCGACTGCACCTTCCGAACCCAACACCCCTTACCTCCACAAGGACAGGGGGTGGGAGATTCCCCCACCCCCCGAGCATCACTCACACACGCACACTGAAATAACTCCACAGAGACTGGTATCCCGTCACTAACTCACCCTTTATTTACACATGAGCAGTCCTTAACACTGATCCACCAGCGACGAGAGAGAGAGAGAGAGAGAGAGCAGAACCCTGGACGCTCCTGTTTCTATCTGTCAGCCAGGGCTCCCTGATTGGAGCAGGTAAACAGCCCCAATCAGGGAACTCATATTCTATGAGGTCCACTTGGCTGAGCTTCCTATGGTCACAGCGAGAGCCTTACCTGTAACTGTGTGGCATCCCATTCCAACCACTGGTTAGTTATATCATTTGGCTCCTCACCTCTGAGGGTAAATAAATATCTGCCAATGGAATAAAGTGGGGAAAAAAAGGAAAGAATTTAATTAGAAAGCAGGAACACAATGTTATACTGGAACAAAATTTGGCCAGACCGCACCAAAGGAGGTACAGGGAGGGATTCAAATCTCCGCATTATACAGAAACAAGAGGAGTATAGGAGTATCCACACGCAGGCATGTCGCTGTGCGCACGGACACAAGGCTGTAGCTTCTCAGCGAGAGATTTGTTTTGGGGGCAGGGCTCACACGGTTAACGCTAGGGCCTGGACCCTGATGGGAGGCGATGGCCCAGTGGTATTATCACTGGACTGTGAATCCAGAGACGCGGATAACGTTCTGGGGACCTGGGTTCGAATCCCGCCAAGGCGGATGGTGGAATTTGAATAAACTATCTGGAATTAAGAATCTAATGATGACCGTGAATCCATTGTCAGGAAAAACCCATCTGGTTCACTAATGCCCTTTAGGGAAGGAAACTGCTATCCTGACCCGGTCTGGCCTACATGTGACTCCAGACCCACAGCAATATGGTTGACTCTTAAAAAAACCCTCAGGACAATTAGGGATGGGCAATAAATGCTGCCTGGTCATCCCATGAATGAATAAAATATTAAAGGAAAAAAAAAGGGTGGTGGTAGAGGGGTGTTTTTCAGACTAGAGGCCTGTGACCAGTGGCATACCACAGGCATCGGTGCTGTGTCCACCGTCATTCGTCATTTATCTAAAAGATTGGGATGAAAATTTAGGAGGGAAGGTTAGTAAGTTTGAGGGTGACACCAAGGTTGGTGGTACAGTGGACAGCAGAGACGTACGGCACGGAAACAGACCCCTCGGCCCAACTCGTCCATGCCAACCCAATATCCTAAATTAATCCAGTCCCATTTGCCAGCATTTAATTCCCATATGCCTCTAAACCCTTACTATCCATGTCCCCATCCGGATGCCTTTTAAATGTTGTCATTGTACCAGCCCCCACCCACTTCCTCTGGCAGCTCGTTCCACACACGCACCACCCTCTGCGTGAAAAAGTTACCCCTCAGGTCCCATTCCCCTCTCACCTTAAACCCATGCCCCTCTTGTTTTGGACTCCCCCCACCCCCAAGGGAAAAGACCTTGTCTATTCATCCTATCCACGCCGCTCATGATTTTATAAACCTCTATAAAGGTCACCCCTCAGCCTCCGAAGCTCCAGGGAAAACAGCCCCAGCCTCTCCCTGTAGCTCAGGTCCTCCAACCCCGGCACCATCCTTATCTGGGAATGCAGCGGGATCTTGATCAACTGGGCCAGCGGGTTGATGAATGGCAGATGGAGTTTAATTTAGATAACTGCAAGGTATTGCATTTTGGTAAGACAAACAAGGGCAGGAATTATACACTTAACGGTAACGTCCTGGGAAGTGTTTCTGAACAGAGACATCTTGGGGAGCAGGTACATAGTTCCTTGAAAGTGGAGTGGCAGGTAGACAGGGCGGTGAAGGTGGTGTTTGGTACGCTTGCCTTTATGGGTCAGTGCGTTGAGTATAGGAATTGGGAGGGTCATGTTGCAGCTGTACAGGACATTGGTCAGGGCCAATTTTGGAATACTGTGTGCAATTCTGATCTCCCTGCTATAGGAAGGATGTTGTGAAACTTGAAAGGTTTCAGATAAAGATTGACCAGGATGTTACCGAGACTGGAGAGTTTGAGTTATAAAGGAGAGGTTGGGACTTTCTTCCCCCCCGGAGCATTGGGGGCCGAGGGGGTGACCTTATAGACGTTTATAAAATCATGAGGGGCATGGATAGGGTGAATAGACAAGGTCGAGACCCCCAGGAGTGGGGGAGTCCAAAACTAGAGGGGCATAGGTTTAAGGGGAGAGGGGGAAAGTTTTAAAAAACTAGAGGGCATTGATGTGGAGGTGCCGGTGTTGGACTGGGTGGGACAAAGTCAGGAATCACATGACACCAGGTTATAGTCCAACAGGTTTATTTGAAAACACAGGTTTTCAGAGTCTCGCTCCTTCTTCAGGTGTCAGTGAGAGAGGTGGCATTCGACATAGAATTTATAAGCAAAAGATCGAAGGGTCATAGACCTGCTGCGAATGTGTTGAACAAACCCAAGATGACTGTTAAATCTTTAATCAATTAGAAAGGATTAATATGCAAAGTCCAGAATTTATTTCAGGTCACTGCCCCAAGATAACTAAAGGTTTTATCAGTTCCCTCAGCACACCAGAGGTAACATCGCAGGTCAGACAATGCACTTATAGGTGTGAGGCCTTGCTTAGAATCTGTCTGTGTATCAACTTGGTTTTATTTACAAAGTAGGCATTTATAAAATGCCACACTGACCGTCTGCAAATTGAGAGTTTTTTGAACAAAATAGGATGCATCTGCAGTTGCAAATCCGCAAATGCAAATTCACCCCGTAGATTTACACATGTGTACGCTAGCAAACGAGACTAGATTTTTGTTTATTCGTTAATGGGATGAGGGCATCACTGGCTAGGCAGCATTTATTGTCCATCCCTAATTGCCCAGAGCACAGTTCAGAGCCAACCACATTGTTGTGGCTCTGGAAGTCACACGTAGGCCAGACCAGGTAAGGATGGCAGTTTCCTTCCCTGAAGGACATTAGTGAACCAGATGGGTTTTTCCCGACAATCGGCAATGGATTCATGGTCATCGTTAGACTCTTCTTAATTCCAGATATTTTTATTGAACTCAAATTCCACCATCTGCCGTGGCGGGATTTGAATCCGGGTCGCCAGAATGTCATCCAGGTCTCTGGATTAACAGTCCAGCGATAATACCACTAGGCCATCGCCTAGGCCTAGATTAAGTTAGGATATCTGGCCAGCACAGATGGGTGGGACTGAAGGGTCTGTTTCCACGCTGTACGACTCTATCACTCTACAACATTTGGATGGGTAGGTGGATAGAAAGGGTTTAAGAGGGATACTGGCCAAATGCAGGCAAACTGGGCCAGTATAGTACAGTTCAGGAAACCCGGTCAGCATGGGCAAGATGGGTCGAAGGGCCTGCCGCCGCACTTTTTGACCATGGCCTATACGCCTCGCTCATGTTGTACAGCCGCTGCCTTTTCAGGAAGGGGGATTTCTGACGAACTTGTGCCGAGGAAGGAAGGGTCACCCTGGCCCGAAACGTTTCGGCTCTGGATTTCATTTCTCCCCCCCCCCCCCCACAACTTCACAAACGCTGCCAGACCCGCTGAGCTTTCCCAGCAACTTCTGTTTTTTTGTTCCCGGTTTCTGACAAACGTTGGCTCGTGGCGGCGTGTAGAGGAGACTTAAATTATTGCCCTCCCAACCCGGTACTCACTGGCAAATGGCATTGGCGGAGAACAGGAACTCGCCACTGGTTACTTGCAGGGCTGGTAGCCGGGGCTGAACCAGGAAAGGAACAACACGATCTGGAACAGGGGCAGAGAGACAGCGAGAGAGAGAGAGAAGGGGGTGTCAGGGAGATTTTTAATGTTTCTTTACACAAATGGCTGCCCTGTTTCCCCAGTCGAGCCACCAACAAAAGTCCCTCCCACACGGAGACGGCGCTCCCACCGACCCCCCCATCCCCTCACGGTGGGGGAAACAGGCAGACTAACCACGCACAGCAAGATCCCAGAAGGGCCCGACGTCGCCGAGCGTCCCCACCCGACCCACCCATCCCCGGATTGAAGAAAAAAAAGGCCTAATTCCCCACCATCCACCCCCAAGCCCCGGCAACAACAATTGGGAGAGCGTGCGAGAAAGACAGAAAGACAGAAAGAGCCCACACTAGTCCCGGTGTTCCCACACCACCCGCCCAAAACAAAATCTCTACAACCAGGAAAATCTTGGGTTCCCTGATAGATTGATATGGTGGGCAGGGATGGGGATAGGAAGGAGAGGTGGTTAGGTTGGATTGGCCGTGCTAAGCTGTCCCATAGCGTCCAGGGACGTGCAGGTTAGGGTGGATTGGCCATGCTAAATTGTCCCATAGCGTCCAGGGACGTGCAGGTTAGGGTGGATTGGCTGTGCTAAATTGTCCCGTACTGTCCAGGGATTTGCAGGTTAGGGTGGGATTGGCCGTGCTAAATTGTCCCATAGTGTGTCCAGGGATGTGCGGGTTAGGGTGGATTGGTCGTGGGAAATGCAGGGTTACAGGGATAGGGTAAAGGGGGTGGGTCTGGGTGGGATATTGTTTGGAAGGTCAGTGTGGACTCGATGGGCTGAATGGCCTGCTTCCACACTGTGATTACAATGCCGTACGCCTTTTTAAAAAAAAAAAAATCAAAAAAAGTTACCTGGCTCGGAAAATCTCAAGCTCCCCAGAAGATTGACAAGGGAGTGTGGGGGTGTAGGAAGCAGAGCTGGGGCTGCATATGGTCAGGGAGTACGTGGGGGGGGGGGGTTTGCAACAGGCTGGCGCACAGCAAGATCCCCCACACACCTTAAAAAACACAAAATAAACGACACCCACCTCCCCAGGAAAATCTCATGCTCCTTCGAGGAATGACGTGGGCTGGAGGCACAAAGCATGCTGGGATGTACACGATCAGGGAGTTCGATAATTTGGGGGGGCGCCAACGTGTTGGTGCACAGCAAGATTCTGCTCACCGCCCCCGTCCACCAAAACACACCCCATAGAAATACTTCGGCCCAGGAAAAAGCAAAGATCCCTGAAAAGTCGACAAGAGTGGGGGAGGCAGCAGAGTTGGAGACGTATGTGGTCAGGCGGCATACGGGAGTTGAGGGCGGGGGAAGCAGACACAGTAAAGATCCCACACATCCGAAAAGAGGAACATAATCACCCACACCCAGGATGGAAACTCTCAAGATCCCCAGAAGAAGATCGACAGGGATGTGGGGGGTTGGGGGTGAGGAAGCAGAGCCGGGGGTGCATGTTTTCAGGAGGTAAAAGTGTGAGGAATGGCGGGGGGGGGGGGGGGGGGTGCGGTGGAGAAACATGTTGATGCACAGCAAGATCCCACACACCCTTAACAACAAAAACCCACACAAGTACTTACAGCCAGGGATATCTCAAGCTCCCTGGAAGATTGATAGGGATGAACTGTAAGAGAGAGCAGAGCTGGGAAATGCAGATTAAATACCCCCATTGCCCGCCCAAGCCCAAACCTAGCTCACTGACAGGCTGCACCTCAGGCTTTAGGCCTACGGTCAGGAGGTTGGGGGGTGGTGGTGGTGGTGGTGGTGGAGAAGAGGGAAACCATCATGTTGATGCACAGCAAGATCCCACACACCCTTAACAACAAAAACCCACACAAACACTTACAGCCAGGGACATCGCGAGCTCCCTGGACGACTGATGGGGAGGAAGGGGAACAGGAAGCACAGCTGAGGATGCAGATGGCCAGGAGGTGCAAGGGGGCGGGGTGGGGGGAACCAACATGTTGATGCACAGCAAGATCCCACACACCCAAAGCAACAAAATCCCACACAAATATTCACAGCCAAGGATACCTCAAGCTTCCTAGAAGATTGATAGGGAGGAAGAGTAAGAGGGAGCAGAGCTGGGGCATGCAGATTAAATACCCCCTATTCCCCCACAAGCCCAAACCCAATTACAAACCTTGCTCACTGACAGACTGCACCTCAGGCCTCAGGCCTGTCACCTCCACAGCCAACAGCACTTTGAGGTTGCTGGGGTTACCCGGGCTCACGAACAGCCTCATGTCCTTCCCTTTCTCTCCCTTTACTCTTGCCCTGGTCCCGACTGATGCAACCTCGCTTTAAAAGAAGCTCTGCCAGACAAACTTGCGGATGGAGTTGGAAGGGCGCTGGATGTTGTAGTTTCCACGTCCTCCCTCAGAATGGGGCACGACAGGGAGAGGGACTACAACTCCCATGAGGGGCAGCGACCAGTCGAACATCCACGAGGGTCTGGGCGCCGAAGACTGCCGGTGCGACGCATGTGCCACAGCGGCTTGTAGTTCATCGGCTCCTCATCAAACTGGGGTTTAAAGGGACTGAGGACTACAGTCCCCATGGGCCACCGCGCCCATGCAAACAGACGGTAGTGTCAGGATGTCAAAAATGGCCGGCCTTGCCCGAGGCACACCGGTGGTTGTAGTTCGTGCGCTGCCACTCAAAACGGGATGTAGGGGTGCGAGGACTACAACGACCATGGAGCAGCGCGTCACACCATCCGTCATCGCTCTGGACATGACGGCAACCCCGCCGCACGGTGCGCCGGGGGTTGTGGTCTCTTCATATCCTCACAAAATGGGACACAAAAGGGTCAGCACCCGTGAGGCACTGCGACGAAAACGCCGCGTACAACAGAAGTCTTCATTCATGGACGCTGCGTCGCAGGGCGTTTCGGGAGTGGTAATTTCCCAGCTCCCCCTCAAACTAGAACCCAAAGGCGTCAGGGACTACAGCCCCTATGAGGCACTGCGATCCTATCCTGACGTCTCGAAAATGGCCGCCAGACAGCGAGGTGTGACGGCAGCTGCAATTCGTGCACTCGCCCTCAAAATGGGAGTCGATTGGGTGCAGGACGACAACCCCGTGAAGCATCGCGACCAAACACCGCCTAAAACATACAGGTTTTTGGAAATGAACATCCCTTCGCAGGGTGAGCCTGGGGATGTAGTTTAGCCCCGCCCCTCAGCTTGAGACTTAATAGGGCCGACTGACACCTCCCTTTAGGCGCCACGACCTGTACCCCATTCACAATACATTGAGCATGAAAGATGTCCGCGCCGCCACAAGGTGCGCCGGGAGTTGTAGTTCCGCTGTACATGGTCAAAATTGGACTGACTACAGTCCCCGTGATGCATTGCGATCCCACCGCTCCACAATATTCTCCCGGTGGCCGCAGAGTGGGCCAGGAGGAGTAGTTTGTCACCCTGAAAATAGTAGCCTAGGGGCCCAGGGAGTACGAACCGCCCCGAGGCAGTGCGACCACAAACCTGTTCCTTCCATGAGGATCTCAAGGACGGCCGCCAGAGCTCTCCCACTGCTCCACAAAATGGGACGTAATAGGGCCAGGAACTACAATCCCCATAAGGCACTGAGATGCACCAATGACGTGTCCCAAGGACGACCGCCGGGGGTTGTAGTTCCTTAACGTGCACCTCAAAATAGGGCCCAATGAGGCCAGGAACTACAATACCCATGGGCACCACCCTGCGGGACCATGCGCAACTTTTGGCTCCATCTACCATTGTGGTACTACAACAACAACTTGCATTTCAAACCCAATAGCCACCTGGCAAATGCCCTTTTGTTGAAAAAGGACGCGGGAGGTTTGGTGGGTGAAGTGGATTGACCATGCCAAAAATTGCCTGGTAGCGTCCGGGGATGTGCAGGCTATGTGTGTTAGGAGTCACGTGGTGGGGATGGCATAGCCTAGTGGTTCTATTGCTGGACTGTTAATCCAGAGACTCACATAATGTTCTGGCATCTCAGGTTCAAATCCTGCCAGGGCAGATGGTGGAATTTGCATTCAATAAATATCTGGAATTAAGAGTCTAACGATAACCGTGAATCCATTGCTGATTGTCACGTGCCCTTTAGGGAAGGAAACTGCCATCCTTACCTGGTCTGGCCTACACGTAACTCCAGACCCACAGCAATCTGGTTGATACTCAACTGCAATTAGCAATGGGCAATAATGCCGCTAGCCAGTGTCGCCCTCATCCCATGAAATAATGAAAGAAAAAAATGTAGTCCACATTACTTTTGAAAAGGAGGAAATATCAAGAAGCAGTTTAAAGACGTTGGGTAAAAAGGACAGTGGGGACAGAAGGAGAAAAGTTTTTGCGCAGTGAGTGGCCGGGATCTGGAATTTACCATTCATTTCAAGAGAGCTAGAATGCAAGAACAGGGATGTACTGCTCCCTCAGCGCTGACCCTCCAACAGCACCCGCTCCCTCAGCGCTGACCCTCTGACATCGCCCACTCCCTCAGTGCTGACCCTCTGACATCGCCCGCTCCCTCGGCGCTGACCCTCTGACA